AGTCTCCACAGATGAGCACACGTGCCCTGCCAGTCTAGACAGCCACTTCTACCCAACTCGGAATAGAACGTGACATTTAATCCACCCTCAGTCCCCCCCGACAGAGTATGAGAGAAAGAAAAGAAAGGGAAGTTTTCCTTACTGAAATAAGATTTTCAGGACCCGAGCAGAGGGTACTTCGCCAAAATGTTGGTGCCCTGTCAACATGGAGCCCTAAAAGAACAGAGCTGTCACCCCCGGGTGCATGGGCACAGGGACTTGGCACTGCTGCTGGATCCGGCCGCCATGAGCAGTGGGCCAGGTCGGCCTGCGGTGTAGACGCGAGACGACCTTGGAGTCGCCCATGGATCTCTGGGCTTGAGGAAACATTCGCACACATGGTCCTTGCACACGAAAACACGTTTACAGGTATTTTAGCAGATGTGGTGTCTCCTGGTCATCCCCTCGGGACGAGCACCGAGCGCCAGACTGAGTCAGGCTTAGTGGCAGGGGAAGGGTACAGCATCTGTCCTCACCTCCCTGTAGCCAGTGGCCACCAACCCCTCACCCAGCTCCCGACCTGCTTCTGGCCGGGGTTTCTAAGACCCAGGAGAGTGGGGTCTCGTGGGAACGCCCTGGAGCAGCCCAGATCGGCTCTCCGAAGGTGACGCTGAGACCCACCCTGCAGATGGGGGTGCGACTCGCTCACCCTGGGGCAACGCCTCTGCACCCCCTGCCCTTTGGGGTCAGAAGCTGCACCCACCTTCTTTTTCTTGCAGTACTCCTCGCTGGACCGTGCAGACATGATCACCGTGGCCGCCATGAGCAGCTCCAGCAGGAGCAGCAGGATAAGGTTGAAGTTGATCTGCCAAAGGGCACACAAGCTTCAGCACCGGGCCCGCCTTTCTCACGCCACTGTGCTTCAGCGTCCACGGGGCCGCCTCCCGGGCAGGCTGCGCAGGACTCTGGGCCATGGTCCCCACTTTTCCCGTCCAGGGCCGGCTGTGAGGCACTGTGGGCCGCACAGTCTCTCTGTCTCACATGGGTCTTTGGGGTCTTTCGGTTTTTAAAACCATGCTTAGTTCAAAGGCTGTACAAACGCAGGCCAGGGCTGGATTTGGCCTTGGGCTCTGGTCTACCGACCCCAATCTGAACGTTCCTTGTTCCCACGAAAGCCTGCACTGGAATGTTTAGAGCAGCTTCATATATGATTGTTAAACTCTGAGAACATAAGGTTTTTTGGAGGGTAATGAAACTACTGTGGGCCCTGACCATATTGGCAGTCACATGAATTTATACGTGTGTTAATATTCATAGACGCATATATTTTTAAAAGTCAGTGTAGCTGTCTGACAATCTGACAATTTTTTATTTTTATTTTTATTTTTATTTTTTTTTTGAGACGGAGTTTTGCTTTTGTTGCCCAGGCTGGAGTGCAAATGGCGCGATCTTGGCTCACCGCAACCTCTGCCTCCCAGGTTCAAATGATTCTCCTGCCTCAGCCTCCCGAGTAGCTGGGATTACAGGTGCCCGCCAGCACACCCGGCTAATGTTGTATTTTTAGTAGAGACGGGGTTTCTCCATGTTGGTCAGGCTGGTCTCGAACTCCTGACCTCAGGTAATCCACCCACCTCAGCCTCCCAAAGTGCTGGGATTACAGGTGTGAGCCACCACACCCGGCCTGATAATTTTTGAAATACATTTTAAAAAGAAAGAATGCAGAACCATATTCAACTAAAAACAGAGCCTCGAAATATATGAAGTCATAACTAACAGAGCCACAGGAAGATGGAAATGCACCAGCAGTGGTGGGGAAGGACTTGAAACACTTTTCGTAGAAACTGACACATCAGGCGGAGGGCAGTGGCTTCTCTTACTAAAAATACAAAAATTAGCCAGGCGCGGAGGCTCATGCTTATGATCCCAGCACTTTGGGAGACCAAGGCGGGTGGATTGCCTGAGGTCAGGAGTTCTAAACCAGCCTGATCAACATGGTAAAACCCCTTCTCTACTAAAAATACAAAAATTAGCTAGGCACGGTGGCGCACGCCTGTGATCCCAGCACTTTGGGAGGCCGAGGTGGGCGAATCACCTGAGGTCGGGAATTCGAGACCAGCCTGACCAACATGGAGAAACCTTGTCTCTACTAAAAATACAAAAATTAGCCGGGCGTGGTGGCACATGTAATCCCAGCTACTCGGGAGGCTGAGACAGGAGAACTGCTTGACCCCGAGGGGCGGAGGTCACAGTGAGCTGAGATGGCACCACTGCACTCCAGCCTGGGCAAGAGAGTGAGATTCTTTCTCAAAAAGAGACAAAAACAAAAAGGCAGTGTAGGTGTTCCCACTGGGTTCTCCTGTGTCTGCTCTTTTTTCCTGCCCAATGAGAGTGTCCAGGACATACTCAAGGCTCCTCCAGCTTTCCCCAATCATAAAGTGCATTCCACATGTCACGCAAAGCAGGAGGCCCTCCTTGCAGTATCTCAGATGAGGTCCTGGTTTCCTTTGAGATTTTTATCTTTTTTTTTGTTTGTTTTTTGAGACAGTGTCTCGCTCTGTCTGCCAGGCTGGACTGCAGTGGCACCATTTCGGCTCCCACAACCTCTGCCACCCACAATTTCCCATTTTTGTTTAGAGGTGCATAGAACAATTGTCTTACACAGATTGGATGAAACATGGTATTATGTTACTGTTAATTTTTTTTTTTTTTTTGAGATGGGGTCTCGCTCTATTTCCCAGGCTGGAGTTCAGTGGCTGGACTTCAGCTCACTGCAAGCTCCGCCTCCCGGGTTCCTGCCATTCTCCTGCCTCAGCCTCCCGAGTAGCTGGGACTACAGGTGCCCGCCAACATGCCCGGCTAGTTTTTTTGTATTTTTTAGTAGAGACGGTTAGCCAGGATGGTCTCGATCTCCTGACCTCGTGATCCACCCGTCTCGGCCTCCCAAAGTGCTGGGATTACAGGCTTGAGCCACCGCGCCTGGCCGTTACTGTTAATTTTTAAGGATCGTTGCAAAAGACATTGTTTACCAATAAATCTGTCCAGCAGAATCACAAGACTTCAATAAAGACAATTATTTTCTTTAGACGCGTAAATAAAACTCTCAACGTTTGTCAAATTCAAGAGCTATGAATAACATTTACCACCTATTTCCAGCTCGACAAACATTTGCTGACACCATTCGTGGGGGTGGGGCTGTGGGTGTCAGGCCTCAGCGCGAAGCTCGCGTGAACTTACATTTATTGCTGATGGGTTCAGGATTAGTTTGCATCCAAACCAAATTAAACACGTAGTGGTCACAGCAAATGTGGAAACGAACAATATCTGAAAGTTGGGAATCTGAAAAACAAGGCAGGAGGGGTTTTCCTTCTCTGAATAACGAAAGAAAAAAGGTAACAGATAAACCACACTTGAGGCCATTAACTAAAAATTATCCTGATTAGGACACAATGGTGGGGAGTCCTGTGTGCTCAGCCTGCTCTCCCCTCCGTGCAGCAAAGGCTGGGCTGGGCAGGAGCTTCACTGTCTGGGGGGCAACCTCAGGGGCCCCTCTTGGTGTCACAACGTCTGTGTGTGGGCACACACGGGCACACTGTCGGCCTCTCCGGCTTTCTCCCTGGCAGAGGCTGGGTGCAAGCTGGACTCACCACATTGGCATTCCTCCTGGAGACGGTGAAGCTCACAATTGCCGAGGGGATGCACTGGAATGAAACCAGAATCCCATAAGTCCGCCGCTCACCCAAGCAACTGAGACCCTGAAATACTCTAACATTTGCGCTTCCAGAAGGATCCGAATCATATTCGCAAAACAGTGTTGCCAGCCCACGTGACACAGCGGGTTAGCTTGACTAGAAGGCCCCCAAGTACTTCTCAGTTTTAATGTTTTGTTGAGATGGGGTCTCACTGTTGCCCAAGCTGATCTTAACTTTGGGCTCAAGTGATCTGTTCACCTTGGCTTCCCAAAGCACTGGGGTTACAGGCGTGAGCCACTGCACCCAACCCCCAGGTACTTCAAAATAATTTATTCTGAAAAAAGTTTTCATTTTTCTGATGTGCTAAAAAGATATTTGTGAATGAAGGCTCTTCCAGCTGGATAAGCTTTGAAGTCTAGAATGTAACTCATGCAGGCACAAGACCTGGTCTTTGCTGAAAATCACCCAAAAAGGAAAACGTATCAGCCAGGTGCAGTGGCTCACACCTCTAATCCCAACTACTTGGGAGGCTGAGCTGGGAGGATCTCCTGAGCCCAGGAAGTCGAGGTTGCAGTGAGCTGTGATTACACCCTGCACTCCAGCCTCGGTGACAGAGCAAGACCTTGTCTCGAAAAAAAAAAAAAGAAAAGAAAAGAAAAAGAAAGAGGAGGCCGGGCGTGGTGGCTCACACCTGCAATCCCAGCACTTTGGGAAGCAGAGGCAGGCGGATCATGAGGTCAGGAGTTTGAGACCAGCCTGGCCAACATAGTGAAACCCCTTCTCTACTAAAAATACAAAAAAATTAGCCTGGCTTGGTGGCGGGCGCCTGTAGTCCCAGCTACTCAGGAGGCAGAGGCAGGAGAATTGCTTGAACCCAGGAGGCGGAGGTCGCAGGAAGCTGAGATCGCCCTACTGCACTCCAACCTGGGCGACAGAGCGAGACTCCATCCAAAAAAACAAAAAAAAGGAATCAAGGAAGGAAGGAAGGAAGAAAAAGAGGAAGGAAGGAGTGAAGGAAGGAGCAAGACTCTGCATGTGAGGGAGGCCGAAAGGAGTCCCAGAGCCCCTCGGCCTTCTTGTCTCCAAAGGGCCACACCAAGGCTAGGAGTACAGGGCCGGGGATGGAGGTTGGGACGTCAGGGGCAGGGAGGTGAGCAGAGTCGGGCCAGCCCAGGCCTGTGGCCCTTGCTTCTGCAGCCATGGGACCCCGGGCTCTGAGGCGGGGGTGCGGGCAGGGGCATCTGAGGGGCTGAGCACAGCAGTGCTGGGTGAGGAGGCGGGAGAAGCCCCGTTGGGGCCTGAGTGAGGGGCAGAGCTGGGTCCAGGACAGTCAGGCTCAGTTCAGCACCCACTCAGGTGCCACGAGGGCCCAGGGTAGAGAAGAAAGGCCAGGGGCAGGGCCAAGTGGGGCCAAGGCTGGACGCGGGTGGGCACTTGCCCATATCTGGCGGCCGCTGAAGCTGAAGGGGCACAGCCCACAGCTCCACTGGGACAAGGGTGGCTCCCATGGTGAGGACAAAGGCCACGGAGAAGCTTCCAGAGAGGGCAGCAGAGTGGGACGAGTCACCTGCCCCAAAGAGCTTTGTTCTAAGGGAGCAGAGACCCAGGACAGCACAGGACGGGGCGTCCACGTTGTTTTTAAGACTTTGGAGGGCGCTGCAGGGGACAGTCACCAACAGTGTCCCTAGAGAAAGGGCAGGGGCCAGAGACCCAGCAGGCGTGGGGAAGCGAGAGGAGGGGAAGCGAGAGGAGGGGAGTGCTCGGAACTGGCTGAAGCAGGAGGGGCATGGGGTCAGCGGGTTGTGGGCCAGAGCCCAGGGGTCGGCCAGCACTGTGCTTTAGCTGCAGGGACGCTGGAGAGGCAGTGGCCGGGGCTCGCAGAGGACCAGGGGTCAGCGGTTGTCTGTCCTCCTTTGCTCTGAGGATCAGTGGGTGCCCCCACCAGCCTCGGCACTGTGTAAGATTCTAGAAAAACAGCATGAAGCTTTGGGAGGGTGTGGGGCGCAGGTCTCAGTCCCAGTCCCCTTGAGGGCAGATGCTGCCAGTTTTGGCAAGATGCAGCCGCAGGATCAGAATCAACATGCAATTCCCTGCATAGGCATCTGCAGAGCAAGGTTCAGACCTGCTTCGTCAGTAATTCTCAAAGGTGATGAATCCTATGTGAAACTAAAGTCATATGAAGAGATTTTTTTTTTTTTTTGAGTTGAAGTTTCACTCTTGTCGCCAGGCTGGAGTTCAGTGGCCCGATCTCGGCTCACCGCAACCTCTGCCTCCTGGGTTCAAGTGATTCTCCTGCCTCAGCCTCCCCAGTAGCTGGGACGACAGGCATGCACCACCACGCCCGGCTAATTTTTCTATTTTTATAGAGATGGGGTTTCTCCATGTTTGTCAGGCTGGTCTCAAACTCCTGACCTCAGGTGATCTGCCTGCCTGCGCCCCCCAAGGTGCTGGGATGATAGGCGTGAGCCACCGTGCCCGGCCCATATGAGGAGATTTGAATGAGGTACAGGTGACAGAAACCTGCACATCTCAGAGCAAAGAAACCGGAGCACGTGCTGGCGAGCTCGGGCACCGGAAGAGACCTGGAGGAAGCTGCTTACAGAGCCTGCAGCACAGCGCAAGTAATCCATCTCGGCAGGGAACACGTTCCCCAGGTACAGCGAAAACCCTGAGGTCACCAGGAGGCAGCTCTGCAAGACAGCGACAGAAGCCCAGGTTACAACGCACCCCGTCCCCGGCTGGACACCGACCTTTCAGCTTCCACTTCACTGTCTCTGCGTGTTGGTGACTCACCCACGGCCCCCAGCATCAACCGCACCTGCACCCAGGGCCCGCCCAACCTGGACTCCTCCTGTAGGACAGACGCAGCCCCGCTGCAGCCCAGGACATGGACCAGCCTCCCCCAGCCACGTCCGAGCATGGACCCCCATGCTGTTACCTGGAGGAGAGAAGGAAGGGGATCTGCCAATATTTAGAGCAAGGAATGGCACCTCTCCCCACAAAATACCCCTGTCCCAACATGTTGTGTGTACAGAGTCTTCCGGATCCCATACTCAGGTCCAGATGCGAGACTGGAAAGCAACTGCCCATCTCCCTCCATCTGCAGAACCTAATTTCCAGATCTGGAAGAAGATCCCTCCAGGCACCGGCTCCAGGCCTAGGGGCTCCCGAGCAGGGAAGACCCTAGCAGGAGGTGGAGGGGGGGCTCTCTCTCACGCACAGCACCGCAGGGGTGAGGTGGGGAGGGTGCTCTCTCTCATGCACAGCACCCCAGGGGTGAGACAGAGGGGAGTCAGTGTCAAAGGTCACGGGGACCCAGGGTCCTGGCAGAGGAAGTGAGGTCTGGGACAGAGGGGACCTGGCCTGGGCAGGGGAGGGGCTGCAACCAAGTCCAGGGCACCAAGCGGAGGAGGGCAGAGCCCGGAGATGGCCGCCACCACCCGGGAGCCGCCTGTCCCCAGCTCCGAGGTGGATGCCTGTCTTGGTGAGGCATGCTCAGGCCATGGGAGTTGGACAGGACCACTGTGGGTGCTGCAGGGGCTGCCGGCGGAGGCGAGGGCACAGGGAGGGGAGAGAGTGCGGCCTGGATCTCATTCTCAGCCCAAGCTGCACGGAACCTGGAGTGCCTGCAGAGAGGCCTGTCCTGCGGCCTGGCTCTGAGCAGCTGCACACACTCAGGCCCAAGTGGCTCCGCCAATCATCTCTGTGCCCACGACGGTGCCGGGAATGCCCAGGACCCCAGGGAAGTCCCTCGGACATCTGGCGCTGCCCGTCCGCCCTAGGCCAGTTCCTTTACACACCAGCTCCCTCCCAGCCGACCCCTGCGGCTCTCCCTAGGAGGAGGAGGTCCCTGAGGTTCTCTCACTGAGGCCTGACCTGAGGGCCTGAGACACCTCCTCCCACCTTTGCAGGTGACCCCTCAGAGGACTCTGGACCCCCAGGGCCGAGGGTCATGGAGGCTCCCGGGGCCCATGGGTAGTCCCGGGACTGTCCCTGCCCTGGTGGGACTCAACCACAGCCTGGAGCAGCTCGAGGCTGGCACAACAGACACCCATAAATTAATACAAATAACTGTGAAAACACAAGCAAAACAAGCTCGTCAGCACCCAAGAGTTCTGCAGCATCAGGGTTAGTCTGAGAGTTGCTCTTTCTGTCCCACCCGGGGCTCCAGGGTGCCGCGGTCCATCACCAGAGGGACCAGGTGCTCGTGGCCCTCCAAGGTGTTGGTGTAGAGCTACTCACCCCCATTAGCACGGAGAAGACCCACGTCTTGGGGCTGAAGCAGGGGGGCAGTCTCTTCGACAGCTGCAGGTCGCTCGGCTTCGTGTCTGTGGCATAGCTGGCGGGGTCTTGCCGGCCCCGCTCCAGTGTGGGCATCCGGTCATAGGCCAGCTCCTCTCTGAATGGCTCCTGGGTCATGGCACTTGGGGACACCACAGCTGTGCTGAATGTACAGCCACGTGTCACCAGTTCTTTATCTGGAATAAAATTATCATTGGTTTTGGCCGCTCTGAAGAAACTTCAATAAGTTGTTTCCAAGAAATATTTTTTAACAGAAGAAATATTGTTCACACTGAAGTGCTCTAAATTTGAAGAAGAAAATGAGCACTTGAATCTGAAAGTGAAAAAAACAACTTTCCTGGAAAAACAGACCTGAATAGTCTGGGTTCAGGGTGAGATTCTACGCTTTAAATGCCTCATTGATCCATGTGGGCCCTCCAGGTGCAACAACACCTGACAACTTCCATCGGCAACTTCGTCCATGAACCCATCACGCCGGGGACTCAAGCACATTAAACTGCTCCAATTGGTAGCTAAACAAGAGATTGTAAAATACGCCTCCACTTAACAGCTTAATGTCTGAGCACTTACCTCCCCGCCGCTCGGCAGTTGGGAGCGCTGGTCTCTGGGTGAGGGACTTCCAGCAAGAACTATTCACAAATAAAACAAAAGCTCAGCAAACTTGCGCTGAAGGCAGGGGAAGGAGAGCTGCTTCCTGAATATCAATGAGGGGAGGAATCGGGTGGATCCTAGAAATGTTTGGTGTTGGTTGTATAAACCACTGCCTGGGAGCTGTCAGAACCCAACTAGGAAAGGAAGGGCCATCCTGTGTCACTCGCCAAAGACCTCGGGTATCTCAGAAGAAAGAAGTGTCCCTAAGGTTAGAATCCCACCAAATACATATTCCGAGCAGGCCCTGTTTCTGAAACATAGCTGTTTGCTCAAAGGTCTCATACATCTTTCCAAGCAGACTTTTTCTATCCCCCACAGCCACACGGTAGGAATCGCCTTCACAAGGTCACACAAGCATTCTTGCACTCGGCTTAGCTGTGTGACCCTTGGGCTGCTCCAGATTCGGCCCTGTGGTTTGCGTGGGCAGCCTGGACGGCTGGTAGGCCCAGTCCCGCTGCCCCCTTTATCTCTGCTCACCAAGCAGAGAGAAACCACAGCAATGTGTGTCGCCCAGAGACACTGGCACCCTGACAGTTACAGGGGCAGATTCTTTGTGCACATTGTAAAAAGGCTGAAACCAAAGTTTCTGAAAAACCAGCTCCTTAAACCATGAACCCACATTAAAACTTGAGTAAAGTCATCAGGTTCCAGACCATGGAATGTTCTGTTGTCTTTGTTTCAATCAAGGAAGATGCTTTTAATAAGCTTTTATTAGCTTTTAGTAATATTATACATGCAAGCATCCCCACCCCAGTGAAAATGCCCACTAAATTACCTCGATCAAAACGAGTAAGTATCAAGTACACATAAATGCAGCTCAAAACACTTTGCTCAACCACATCCCTATGGGAAACAGCAGTGATAAATCGTTAGCAATAAACGAAAGTTTAAGCTATACTGATATTTTAGGGTTGGTTAATTTCGTGCCAGCCACCGCAGCCAATGTTCTGTTGTCTTCGTTTCAATCCAACAAGGATGAGAAATAATTTTCACAAACTATAATCCATGAAGTCAAGAACTATTCTGAATGGATTGAGAAACCTCCCAAACTTCTTTTCTGTCTTTTAAAGCGATAAACGGGATTAGTGGGAATTAGTCCAACTGGATCGAATCCTCCTTTGTTTCTTTTAGTTTGAAAAAAATGTGAATCGGATTTCAACATTTTTTCTTTCAAAAGTTCTCCACTTAAAAATGCAAACAGGCTGCCCTGAACCAGAGGTTGCAGAGCAAACCCCTCAGCTTCCCAGATCATAAGTCGTCACTTGAGAAATGCTCCCATGTTACCGTTGGCAACACTAGTTTCTAGAACAGGCCCTGTTCTTTCATACGATCTTCCAACAAATTCTTGCTCCTAAAATGCCCTTCCTCCCTCTGCCTGCTGACGTTCCATCATCATTCAACATTCAACAAACATTTACAGGGTGGACAGAGAAGTGACATCCTTCCTATAGGCTGTTTACAATCAATGGGGGCACAAGAGTGCACAGGATAAACAAATAGTGTGTTATTCAGTGATATGGTTTGGCTGTGCCCCCACGCAAATCTCCTCTTGAATTGTAATTCCCATAATCCCTATGTGTCATGGGAGGGACCTGGTGGGAGGTCATTGAACCATGGGGGTGGTTACCCCCACGCTGCTGTTCTCCTGACAGTGAGTGAGTTGTCACGAGATCTGATGGTCTTTTATAAGGGGCTTTCCCCCCTTTTGCTCGGGACTTCTCCTTCCTGCTGCCTTGTGAAGACGGACATGTTTGCTTCCCCTTCCACCATGATTGTAAGTTTCCGGAGGCCTCCACAGCCCTGTGGAACTGTGAGTTAATTAAACCTCTTTCCTTTATAAGGACCTAACCCTAAAATTACCCAGTCTTGGGTATGTCCTTATAGCAGCATGAGAACAGACTAGTATGTCCAGCGACACATGTGATTTCCTCTATGAGGGAAAATAAGTCAGGGGAGAGAAATGAGGGGCTGCTGTTTGCAGGGGCCAGGGCAGGCCTCAGTGAGACGGAGGCAGGGAGGGGAGGCTGGCAAAGCAAAGGACACAGGTGGGGGAGGGCAGGCGAGGACCACGCAAGGGGTACAGGTAGGACAGCCGGGTACTAGCACCTGTGGGTGTGGAGACGACTCTGCTTCGACTCTGAGGCAGACCTGCTGGAGGGGTCTGGGCAGAGCAGCATCCGGTCACTCACTGGGTGGAGAGCAGGCTGGGGGGTGGGAGGAGCAGGTGCTGCCTGGCATTGAGGTGGCAATGGGCAAGCGGTGAGGAGGGACTGGGCTCTGAATAGGGTTTGAAGAGCGGACGCAATCTGCTATCAGAGCGATGTTGCCGAGTTCTGTCTGAGCAGTGAGGACAGAGATGAGAAGACCAGGGTGGAGAGAGTGTGGAGCAAAGATCTTTTAGTAGAGCCGGGGTTTTGCCATGTTGGCCAGGCTGGTCTCGAACTCCTCACCTCAAGTGATCCACCCACTCTGGTCTCTCCAAGTGTAAAGATTTTTTTTTTTTTTTTTTTTTTTTTTTTTTTGAGACGGAGTCTCACTGTGCTCCCAGGCTGGAGTGCAGTGGCGTGATCTCCGCTCACTGCAAGCTCCGCCTCCCGGGTTCACGCCATTCTCCCGCCTCAGCCTCCCAAGTAGCTGAGACTACAGGCGCCCGCCACCACGCCCGGCTAGTTTTTTGTATTTTTAGTAGAGACGGGGTTTCACCATGTTAGCCAGGACAGTCTCGATCTCCTGACCTCGTGATCCGCCCGCCTCGGCCTCCCAAAGTGCTGGGATTACAGGCTTGAGCCACCACGCCCGGCCAAGATATTTTTAAAATAGAGAAAAATCAATGAAATCAAGAGATTTTATAAAAAAAAGATCAATAAAATTGATAAATATAGACTGATCAAGGAAAATGAGAGGGATGAGATAAATTACCTATGTCAAGAATGAACGATGGTTCATCATTATGAACCATACAGACAATAAAAGGATAATAAGAAAATATGCTGAACAACTTTATGCCAATCATCTGACATCTAATAATTGGATGAAATGGACAAATTCCTTAAAAGAATTACCAAAGTTTACTCAATATTACCCTGATAACTTTAATAGCCCTCTAGCTGATGCAGAAGTGAACTTCTCATTAAAAACCTTCCCACAAAGAAAACTCGAAGCCCAGATGGGTTCCCTGGTGAATACTACTACAGTTTTTAGGGAATAAGTTACATCATCCTACTCCCTGGTCACTGCAGGCCCAGCTTAAACCGACCCCAAACCAGACAGACACAGAAAACGGGAGGTCGGCCACAGAGCAATCTGCTTCACCAGCACCGTCCCCAACCCTGGACAAAGCGTTACCAAGTTGAGTCGGGCAATACACGAAAAGGATAACGAATTGCGACCAAGTGAGTTTTCCCAGGAGAGCCAAGCAATGAAATTCCCTATACAGGCTGAGATAAAAAGCTACAGGATCATTTGAATACACGTAGAAAAGCGTTGCAGAAAATTTCACACCCACTTGTAAGAACTCTTGGAAAAATAGGACTAGAGGGAACTTCCCCAACTTAATAAAGAACACCAACAAAATACGACTCCTAACATCACTCTGGGCGGTGAAAGACGGCGCACTTTTCCCTAAGGTGTGGGCGGCAAGAAGGCGGACCCCCGCGAAGCTCCGCCCATCCACGCGAGGCCACGCCCCCTCCCGAAACCCCGCCCACCCGGCGGGCACAGCGCCTTGCGCGCCCGGCATGACGTCACTCCCACCAGGCACCTCGCCTCGTCACGCGCTGTCAGGCGCCAACCGCCGCCCTCTATACGGGTCCCGGCTCGCGCGACGACCCCAACGCGCATGCCCAGGCGCGGCGACCCCATTGGTCGCGGGCGGCGGGAGCGGCGCGGTCGCGTGCGGGCTGCTGTGGCGGTGGCGGCGGCCGAGGCCGGGCGAGGGCCATGTTGAGCCTCGCGGCCAAGCTGGTGGCCTTCTTCTGGAGGACGGCGGACACCGCTAGGGAGGAAGCCGGGCGGCTGGAGCCCGAGCTCGCGGAAGGTGGCTCGCGGGAGGCGGCGGGGCGGCCGGGCGGGAGGCGGGTCCCGGGCCCTCGCGTGTCAGCCACGAGGGAGCCGCGCCCGGAGGTCTTTGAGTGCAGTGCGGCGGGCGGGAGACGCTGGGCCCGGCCTTTCCTCATCTCCCCTCGCTCGCCTCAGAGGCTGCGGAGCCCACACGCCCCCGCCCTGGGCGCCCGTCCTCCGTGAGGTCTCGCCGGTGTCCCTAGCCCCCCTGGTCGCCCTCACTTTGTGTTTCTGCGCCTTGCAGCTGCCGAGGCGCCTGTCCACGTCGCTCCTCCCCGTGGGCAGCGCCACCGGCGGCTGTGTGCCTAGAAAGCCCCGGAAAACGCGGCCCCGCCGACCTCGCCTGTCCTTTCAGAACGCGCTGCGCCCACGCGCGCCTTGGCCTTGCCTTGCTTCCGAGCCCATCTTCCTAAAGCCGGGGATGCGCTCGGATTCCCGCACGATTCCTTTCTCCCAAGGTGTTTGTTTGTTTGTTTGTTTGTTTTTTGTTGTTTTTGTGAAACAGAGTTTTGCTCTTGTCACCCAGGGTGGGGTGCAGTGGCGCGATCTCGGCTCACCGCAACTTCCGTCTCCCGGGTTCAACCGATTCTCCTGCCTCAGCCTCCCGAGTAGCTGGGTGTACAGGCACCTGCCACAACGCCCAGCTAATTTTTTTGGTATTTTTAGTAGAGACGGGGTTTCACCATATTAGCCAGGATGGTCTGGATCTTCTGACCTTGTGATCCGCCCGCCTGGGCCTCCCAAAGTGCTGGGATTACAGGCGTGAGCCACCGCGCCCGGCCTCTCCCGAGGTTCTGATGGCTTCTCCCCATGTTTCCTTCTGTGGGAATGAAATCCACGGTAGTGGGTCCCTAGTTGCCTTCTGTGAGAGAAACCAGGAGCAGGCTTCAGGAGGGGAGCTTCCTGCTGCAGGCAGCGTGTTCAGGGCCTCTGGATCCACAGGGGCCGATGCCTGGGGGGCCAGCGGCCGGGGGGCCTGCTGTGTTACCTGGAGCACTTGCTCCGCAGATCTGAGTCTCTTCGGTAGAACGCTCTCAGCCGTAGCTGGAGCTCCAGCTCTTGGCAGCGCCAAGATTCCTTGCCTGTACCGTAACCGGCGCCCCTCGTTCCTCCCGTGGCTTGGAAGCTGCAGGAAAGGCGCGTTCAGAACTCAGGACCGTGGCTGCAGCAGTAGCCAAATGGCTGAGGGATGCCCTGCTCATGGGTCAGACTTGCCTGCCCAGCCCTGAACCTTTTCTAGCAGCATTTTTGTTGAGATTCTCTAGTTTTCTAAGACTGCTGCTGATGGTGATGAAAGAAGATAATCGATAGCGCTAATAAAACCGTGCATGCTAGTATCTCCCAGATGCTGATATACGTGGCAGTTTACGTAGCACTTAACTTGTGTCAGCCACGCAGAGGT